GTTTGTCTTTTACGACTGTTTTAAATGAGATTCGAAACGGAGAGAAAGGGTATCTTGTTGATGCGAATCGGCATGCAGCCGATGATATTTCGACTGTGTGTCCGTTTGCCTGAACAGAATTGAAAGCTTGTCCAATATTGTCTGGCTGACTTTGACGAATTCTCTGCGGTTTGTATGCTACATCATTAAAGTTTCTCCCGTTTGTTGTTACTGTCTTCAACTTCTTTGGTGTATAATATCGAATTTCCTGACGTTGAAGAAGTTGCTGACCAGCTTGTTGTTGTTGATTGATACTTGTGTCACAGGATCTACTTACATCATCAATTTGTCTCTTAGAGACTTGCGCCATCTGATCGCTCACAATAGTTGGTCCTGGAGTCGACGTCACCATCGGCTGACTCATCAACATTGAAGAAGGGAGAGCGTTATTTGATGCTATGTAATGAGACAGCATTGGTGCTTGTTGTTGGTACGTGACTTGTTGTCCCATCAATGGTGGCATGCATTGTTGGATTCCTTGATTTGAAGTAACATATTGTTGTTGCAACGGTTGTTGCTGGTGATGGAGAGACTGTTGTCCTCCAAGTGGTACAGAAAGCTGATTAGCAGCCACTTGACGTGTTTGTTCAATGGATTGACCATTATTATTATACCAATGTTGTACTAACACTTGATCATTCGAGTAACTTCCATTTTGAGCAAGCGTATATTGATCGTTTGTTGTATAAGACGTGGGTACATAAGCTTGACCGGTATTCATTGGTGTTGGTTGAGATTGTTGTGGGGTAGAATACATTTACGCAAAGACTCCGAAGATTTCAGTCTTCGAGATTTGCGAAAAAGTACACAAAAGTACAAAAACAAAAAAAAAGAAGAAGAAAAGCACAATACAGTACTTACAATAGCATCGAATACGTCTTATCACAAGGAGGGAGAATGAGAGAAATGGATAAACTAATAGCTTTTCTTTACTTGAATCAAAATATCTAGTTTTTATCGAAAAAATTCAGCATGAAATTTTCTGTAAACATCTGTGAATTTGGGGTGTGAGTGTGTAGACCTTACCACAATACTAGATAGTATTTCGATTTTGCTGTAATCTTATCAAGTGGCCAGTATCTGTTCGAATGATTCGTCTTCGAAGAAGAAGACAAATCAAAAACAAGACACTACAAATTCGAATTTCGTATCTCGATAGGATCGAGGTGAAAATTCGAAGACTGTGTTTGTTTAGGATTTGTACTTCATTGCTGTATAGAATTATGTTTTGTAAGACGGAGAATAAATCATCGTTTCAACAGAGTTCGATTCGCTTAGATGGTTGGCAGGAATATTGTGTTGGATTGCTTTATTACGATTTGTTTGTGTAGTTGGTTTAGCCGTGTCGCGCAGTTCTTGTTTTCGAATGGTTTGGAAGTAATATTGTAAGTGTTGATTGTCTAGTGCTGTGCTGATTTTTGTTGTGTTGACTTGTGGTTGTTCAGTGAAATATCTACTGCATGGAATGTTGTTGTTTTGCCACGGCTGTGAATATATTGACTCCCCATGTGTTCGTAGTTGTGTGTATGCTTGGTATCGGATGCGAAAAGCAATTGCAAGATTAATGTAAAGCAACTGTTGGATTGTCAGGACCTGACCTCTATTGTCATTCCTGTTGTCTTTCCACTCGATATATGATATGTCGTCGTTTTTCTTTTTTTGTTGTTTGTTATAACTTTTTCACTTTAAGAAAATAAACTATAAT